TTAAGGCTATTCTTAAAAGATATTCTAGCCCTATAGATAAAAGGAATTATAGTATTTAAAATAGATATTAACGGCTATATAGAATAAACTTTTATATATATAGTCCTTAAGCTAAGCTACGATATATTCCTAAGGAGGCTATAGATAAAGAAGAACTAAGTAATATATAACGTAGCGGGGATTAGATTTAGTATAGTAAGGCTAAGATCTAAATAGGCCTATAAGGATCGGAAGTAGTAAAGAAGGTAAAATAGATTTAAGGGGAAAGGATTATTAGCGCGGTAGTATTTATAGCGGAATATTAAAGGGAGAGGGCGGTAAGGGATAATAAAGGAAGATAGAGGATAGTTAATATCTAAGTAATTACGATAAAGGATATAAAGAGAGCGCTCTAGCTAAAGATAGCGGTATACTTAGCGGACTATATCTTAAAGTAAGCGCTAGATATATACCTAGACCTCTTTATACCTAAAAAGGCTTTAAAGATACCCTTATATAGGCTAAGGGTAAACTATAAGATTAACTTAATACTAGATAAGGATAAGGTAGAGCCCCCCTTACTATAAGGACCCCTTTATAATATATTAAGGGAAGAACTCTTAATACTAAGGAAGACCTTAAGCGAGCTAATAGAGGTAAACCTAATCCGCTTAAGTAGCTCCTTAGCCGCGGCCTTAGTACTCTTTACCTAAAAGTTAAATAGTCGCTTATAATTTTACTATAACTACTAAGCCTTAAAAGCGATTATAAAAAAGGATAAGTACGCGCTACCCTTAATTATAAAGATATTATAAATACTTATAAAGGTAAAGTAGTTTATAAAGCTTAACGTTATAGTAGTATTTTATAAGATTTAGATAGTAAAGTACTATAAGTTTAAGATAGCCTTTTAAATAAAGTTTAAATTATTTAAGTAATAGGTATACTTATTTAGCTTAATAGGGACGCTAGCTACCTTTTAATAATATATTAATAAGGTACTAAGGGAATACCTATATAAGTTTATTATAGTATATATAGATAACGTTTTAATCTACTTATTAAGGTCTCTTTAAAACTACTAATAAAAGGTAGTAAGGGTACTTTAAAAGCTATAAAAGGCAGGCCTAACGCTAGACTTAAAGTAGTATAACTTTATAATAAATAAGGTTAAGTACTTAAGCTTTATTATATAAGTAAAGGGTAAAGTTTAATATAACCTAGAGAAGATCTAAGTAATATAGATATAGTAGGTACCTTAGAATATAAAAGGAGTCCGGAGCTTCCTTAGCTTCGCGAACTACTACTAAGTCTTTATACTACTCTATATAAAGGTATTAGTATACCTAGATAGCCTTTATAAAAAAGGCGCGATCTTTAAGTAGATAGATAAGTACTAAGTAGTATTTAAGTTTATTTAAAACGCCTTTTATAACGCCTTAATACTATAACTTTATAACTTAAAAAGAGAAATATACCTAGAAGCAAACTAATTTAAATATATAATAAGGGGGGCGCTAATATAGATAGGGCCGGATAGTATATAATACTTAGTAGGATTCTTCTTAAAGAGACTAAACCTAGCGGAGTATAACTACTTAATCTATAATAAGGGGATACTTATAATTATATAGTACTTAGACTTTTAAAGAGTAGAACTTTAAAATATACTTACTTTTATAATACTAACTAACTATAATAACTTAAGGCATTTTATAATAAAGAAGAAGTTGTGACGGCCTAGCACCGTCACACCCCCTTTGCATACATGACCCACATGTTGCTGAGCCAACGGCCCACACGTACGGAAGGCATATTTAGGGAGAGGACACCCAGTTGTATTGTTCTGTTCTCCTTTCTCTTCTTCAGAGCAGAATCTTCGTAATAGAGTCCACAGCCTTCTGGCTCAGTCCGTGACCGTCACACTATTCTGCTCTCTACCACGCCATCGCTGCCGAGCGATTCATAAGAACGCCACGACTTTACCCCATGCCAAGACTGCGCTCGGCCGGCCCACTTGAACAGGACACGGCCCTCCATAGATCGCAGCTCCCGACCCGTCTTACCAAGCATCGAAGATCAAGACCAAGACCAAGACCAAGACCAAGACCAAGACCAAGACCAAGACCAAGACCAAGACCAAGATCAAGATCAATACCAAGACCAAGACCAAGACCAAGACCAAGACCAAGATCAAGACCGAGATCAAGACCAAAGAAACAGTTCAGGGACCATCGAATCGCACATAACCATCCAGGAAGGACAGGGACCTAAAATGGCTGACAGAACCAATCAGGAGGGCAGCAGCGGCTTGTTCACCGAATTGTCTCCCGAGCAGAGACAGCAATTAACCGACCACATCAGCCGAGAAGTGGCCCGTTTGGTCGCCCAAGTACGAGTGACCGAGCCAAGAGACAGCCAATATGGTGAAGATGAAGTCAGCACACCAGGCCAACGGGAAGGAACAGCCTTTGACGACCGCGAAGAATTCCGGCCGTCAGGATATGCGGCCCTTTTAGCCTTCCGGAGATATGAGTCGATGGATGGCACCAACCCAAACTATAGAGAGGGACGGAAACGTCGGGGAGAGAAACCCACCATGTTCTCCGGCGAAGGACTCCTCGTTTGAAAGCTGGATTAAGCAAGTAGAGGGCAAGTTCGAGGAGGACAACGATACTTTCGCCTCTGAGAAGACGCGGATCAACTTCGTGATTACGCGTCTCGAGGGCACCGCGTATAAGACCGTAGAAGGACGCCACCACTCGCTGACTCGGCCTTTCACAACATTGGCCGAACTAATCCAGGTCCTCCAGACAGCGCACACAAACCCAAACAAAGGCGCCGACGCCCGCGCCCAGCTGCGTGTCTGCAAATACGATTGGAAGAAGGACTTCAATATTTTCTTGGGAATTCAACTCCATGTACGAGGCGGCGGGGTACCAACCTTCAATGCAGAAACAGACCCTGTGGGACTCTCTTCCTGCTCCGGTCAACCAAGCGGTGGTCGAGAGGGTCTACGATACGAAAGTGCGCTACGAGGACTTCTGTGAGTCAGCACAGCACCAGGTGTTCGTGGCCCGCCACAACTTTTCCGAAGCGCAAAGAAGCGCAACCACTCTAGTAGTAGTGGTGCCCGAGGGTTCGGAACAATGGCGGCAACCGTAACAATGCCCGTGGTCGCCACCGGGAACAAACTGGCAACGAAGGGCTAGCCGGGAAGCTGGAGGGAACCGTATCTCCGAGGAAGAGAGGGAACGTCGCCGCATCAATAACCTGTGCTACCGGTGCGGAGAATCTGGGCATATCGCCCCATTCTGTCGCACCCGCAACAACAACACCCGGAAAGGCAACCACGAAGACCGTGGAGAGCAGGCGGCCCCAGTCAGCGCAGCGACAACCAACACCGCCACGGGCAAGGGCAAGGTTTGCGACCCAGACTCGAGCAGTTCGGAGTCGGAAAACGAGTAGGCCAGGACAAAGTCTCGTTCCTGGCCGACTTGGTGTCTGTGATTGGAGCGGCGGATTTGGACAGACTCATAGGGGGCAAACAGCTGACAATCTCATCTCGCCTTAAATTGAACAACATGTCTATTCTCATTCGTGCCCTTGCAGACACCGGAGCGAGTATGTATCTCGCCATTAACCATAGGTTAGCGAGAAGAGCGGCCTCACAACTTGGGGCCCAGAGGAAGAGGCTTGATCAGCCAATTCACCTAAAGGATTACGCGGGAGTCAAGCACAAACACCCGATCAAGGAGGTTTTTATGGACTTCGAGATTGATGGACGACTCTAAAGAACTTACCATTCTTGGTCGTCCGGATGGACTACGACATCATCATTGGCAGGAAATGGTTTGAACAACACAGGGTCGCCGTTGCGCCTGGACTCAGGAAACTTCTCTGGTCATCAGGACGGGAAGGCGCGACGAGATTATCGGGCCGAAGACGAGACAGTCTGGGGAAGCCGTCCTGGCGAAACCCGACGATTCCAACCACGCGAGTCGACGCCGATAATCCGCAGCAAATCCGCGCTGTTTCCGGTACGGAGCCTATCCAAGGAAGGGGGAAAACGGACGACCAAGAGGACGTCATCCGTGACTGTGGTCGCCTTGCTACCGACCAGCGTCTGGCCGGCCAGGAGAGCAATGCCGGCGGGCCGCCAACGTGTTCGGCACAAGCGCAAGCCCCAAGAATTCATGAACTAGCGTCTCCGGGAGCAAAGGGGACCCAAGTCGACCAGAGTCAATTGCCACAGGATGGACCACCCCACGACCACGACTCTGCAGGCCGACGGGGTGGTTGCCAGCTTTCTAAACCCGCAACAGGACCGGGAACTTCAGGGCTGCTGACAGCCCGCCTTAAGGGAATTCAGAGTGCATCGCGCCTCGGAGAATTGGCTCGAAGAAGTGTTACGGTGGCTCACGTGAACCCGCAAACGCCAGAGATGCCTAAGGTACCACCGAAGGACACCCGCCCAGTTATCCCACTTCCACGGGGTGAGGATGACGAGACGGTCCGCCTGATCAAAGAGAAACTCCCGACCCCGCTGGGCCATCTGGCTGGATTTTTCTCGAAGAAGGAGTCTAACCAGTTGCCTCCTCTCCGCGGCCCAGGAGGGACATGAAGATCTACCTGACCAAGCCATTGCCAGAGCGTTCGAGAGGTGTCTACCGCAACCCACATCATCTAGACGAACTACTCCGAAAGACGATTCAAGATTACCTGGACAAGGGTTTCATCGAGAGCTGCTGGCCTGGATTTGCCTCACCAGCCTTCTTTGTGCCCAAGGGTGACATGGGCATAGATCGAGATTCGTGATCGACTACCGGGACCTCAACGACGCCAGTGCAAAGATGAAGTACCCCATGCCTCTGTTAGAAGATACCCTGGTAAAACTAGCAAGCGCCAAGTTTTTTACAAAAATCGACATCCGTCAAGCCTTCCATAGGTTGCGAATGGCCCTCGAAAGTATGGATCTGACGGCATTTCGGTGCCGGCTGGGAACTTTCCGTTGGAAGGTGATGCCCTTTGGGCTGACGAACGGCCCAGCAATCTTTCAATGCTTTATCAACGACTGCCTGAGGGATATCCTGGACATCTACTGCAGTTCGTACGCCGACGACATCCTGATCTATTCAGAGTCGGCCGAGGAAAACGTGCGCCAGACCGAGGAAGTCATTCGACGACTGGCAGCGGCAGGCCTACAGGGCGACATCAAGAAGAGCTCCTTTGCGTCACCGAGGTGGATTACCTCGGGCTGGTGATTAAGGCGGGGGAAGGTATCGCCCTTGACCCTAAGAAGAAACAGGCCATCCTTGAGTGGAGGCTGTCGGACCTAAAATCTACGAAAGCCATCCGATCTTTCCTCGGATTGGTTAACTTTGTCCGACGCTTCTCGAAAGAAGTAAGCGAGCTGGCGCACCCGCTCAACGAGCTCCTAAAAAAAGGGGCAATCTTCAAGATCGGCAAGCAAGAGGAAGCGGCTTTTGAAGCACTCAAGGAAGCCCTGGTCCGAGCTCCCGGAATGGGCTTCTGGAAGATAGGCGCCCTGACTCGGATAGAGACTGATGCGTCAAAGCATTCGGTAGGCGCCACCGCTTTACAACAACAGAACGACAACTCATGGAAGCCGGTGGCCTACTTCTCCAAGACCTTGTCGTCAACAGAGACGGTATGGCCTATCCAAGACCGAGAATTCCTCGCCATCATCCGCGCCCTAGAAGAGTGGAGGCCAGAGCTGGTTGGGGCCCTTTGAAGTAGTAACGGACCATGAAGCTCTCAAGTACTTTGCGACAAAGCGGGTTTTATCATCTCGACAAGCCCGTTGGGCACAGATTCTGTCGGAATTTGACTACAAGATGACATACCGACCCGGGAAGGAGAACATAATTGCAGATGCCCTGTCCCGGAAAAGCGAGAACTTCGAGACCGTCAGAGCCAGAGACCTGGATTCCCGCACCATGGAACTGGTCCCGAACGATCGGGTACCCGCAGAAGTTCTCGAGGAGACACATGTCGAAGCTGCTCCCCTAGACATCGCGGCAAATTCTGAGGACCGCGGCCCAGCAGTACCTGGGGAGGCACCAGCCGGAGTGTTCCTTGTGGAGCTGATTGTCCGGGAAAATGAGAAACAGATTCCCAAGGAGGACCGGCGGAAGGGAGATCGTATCTGGGTGCCGGAGTACTCGTCAGAAGGGCTCGCACTGCGAACTGCCTTAATCCGGGAAGTCCACGAACCCAAATCAAGGGTCATCCCGGGAAGAACAAGATGAAGGCGATGCTGCGGCCGTTCTATTACTGGCCACGTATGGATGAGGATCTCGCGCGCTACGCACGCAATTGCCAGGCATGCCGTAGGAACAAGGTGTGGAAAGATAAGTCACCTGGATTGCTCCATTCGTTGCCCGTCCCAGAGGAACCTTGGCATACCGTGCTGGTGGACGGAAAGGACATGCCGAATGATCGAAATGGATTCGACTACGTTTGACGTTCATCTGCAAGCTGAGCAAGCTGATTCTCACGATTCCGGGAAAAAGACAGACACCGCCGAAAGACTGGCTGCGATATTACCGCCGCGTGTTTGGTCACCTCGGTCTACCGAAGATTTGGCTCTCGGACAACGGACCACAGTTCATTTCGAAATTCATGGCCAAGGTCAACGAGATGACGGGAACAGAGCACAAATTCGGCAGTGCCTACCATGCGCAGACTCAAGGAGGCGTGGAGATTACCAACCAGTATCTTGACCAACGCTTGACGTTTTACGTGTCGTATTTTCAAGACGATTGGAGTGAGCATCTGGCGGCGTTAGACTTCGCGCATAACTCCACGCCGCACGACTCAACAGGCATGACTCCGATCGAGGCCTCCCAAGGGCGAGCACCCCACGCGGCTTTCGTTCATATAGCGACCGACAAGCAGGTCGGGGATTGGACCGACGCCCAAAAGGCAGCCAAGGACTTTGTGAATCGAGCCAAGAAAGTTTGTTCGCTGGCAAAAAGGAACGTGGAAGCGGCTCAAAGGCGCCAGGAACGATCAGCCAATTTGAAGAGAAGAGTGCCCGATTTTGATGTCGGTGACTGGGTGTTTGTTTCGAAAAGGGGCTGGTCAACTGACAGGCCAACAACGCGGCTAGATTCTAAGAACGCGGGTCCGTTCAGAATCGTGGCAAAAAGGGGTCACTCATTCGAGCTGGACCTACCCAAAGGCATGAGGGTGGCAAAGGTGCTGCATGCCGACCGGTTGAGAAGGGCTGCGCGAGACCCGCTGCCGGGACAGCAGGTGGAAGCTCCGCCGGCCGAGATGATTAACGGCGAGCCAGAGTACGAGGTGGCGAAAATATTGTCGTCAAGGATCTCAAGGGGGAAATTACAGTACCGAGCCGAGTGGGCAGGACAGGACCCTGACGAGCTATACTACGACGCTGAAGGGTTCAAGAATGGTGCCGCAGCTCTCAGGCGGTTCCACGACGAATATCCCGAGGCACCTGGACCGCCTGTACGATTGGCAGAATGGCTGCTAGCCGCTGCGGAAGACAGGTGGGCAGAGAGTCACAACGATGACAACAAGGCTGTCGGCCGTGGGCATGAGCGACGGCGACTGCGACGACACTCGTGAGGAGCCATCTCCACCGTTGGTGTTCGACGGCTTTAGGGGTAGTGTGACGGCCTAGCACCGTCACACCCCTTTGCATACATGACCCACATGTTGCTGAGCCAACGGCCCACACGTACGGAAGGCATATTTAGGGAGAGGACACCCAGTTGTATTGTTCTGTTCTCCTTTCTCTTCTTCAGAGCAGAATCTTCGTAATAGAGTCCACAGCCTTCTGGCTCAGTCCGTGACCGTCACAGAAGTTAAATAAGAGATAAAGCTAATAAGCGATAGAGCTTATATCTTATAACTTTATACTAAAGTTCTAGCTAAGGAGGCTAGTAGCGGTGCCTAACGCGCTATCCCGCTATAAGTAAGATTAGCTAGTAGGCGAAATAAATAAAAGGGAAATAAGGTAGGTAGTCTAAATAATTCTAGAAACCGGGTACTTATAAGGCCGCTTAGTCCTTATTAAGGGCTAATACGCCGACTTACTAAGACGCTTAACTTAAGATAGGGCGGTAGTAATAGCGCTATAGGTAGGTAAAAGAGGGGTAAGCGTAGTAGTATACGTTAGCGGAGTAAAGAGGCCTACTAAACGACTTAAGGAGGAGGCGAATAAAGGCGATAACTACCCGTTGATCTTGGTGTGGGGCCACAGCAGCCCAACTAAGTGTCTTCGCCACTTAGTTGGCCCAAAAAATCCGGCACAGCCCAAAAAATCCGGCACAGCAGCCCACCTCCAAAACGTCAACCCTATGCATCTCAACCGCGTTTTCTCGCGCAACTTGACTTTATTTACGTATCTTTTGCCGGAATACATTATGACAGATAACATGGCTACCCTGGAGGCAGCAAAGCCGTTCTGGCGTCTCGTCGCGACCCCAGAGCCGATGTTCGTCGCTCAACAACACCAAAAGAACGCCTCTTTCCGTGCGAGATGCGGCCATCCGTTACAATGTGAAGAGCTCATCCGTACAGAGAGCCATTAATTTCATAAGAAACCCTTTTCCCGTGCTCCAGGGCGTCCATTGGCGCTGACGGAGGACGAAGACGACGCCCTGGTTGCGTATGTACAGTGGATGGAACGCACCGGCATGCCCGCCACGAGAGAGCAACTTGAAGCTGTTGCAAATGCAATAAGAATGCGTCGAGATCCCAATGCCCGCCCGGTCTCGTCAAGTTGGCTTGACAATTGGCGTGGAAGTCATCCTGCGATCGCGAAGACGTATCTCAAAGCAGTTGAACGAGCCCGGAAGTCCTTTGAAGCCCACGGGTAGAAGAAGTCGAATTTTTCTACTCAAAGCTTCGAGAAATCATCACCAGCTACCGTATTGGCAGTTCAGAGATCTGGAATGAAGACGAGGCCGGAATACGCATTGGGTGCCTGCGAGAACGCATCCAAGTTCTCATCACGCGCACCACTAGAGTCAAGAGCACCCGGCCCCGAGTTTTAGACCCAGCAAACCGAGAATCCTGCACGGTAATTGCCTCAGTTAACGCAGTGGGGGACTCTCTTCCACCCTGGCTTGTTTTCCAACATTACCCTACCACCAACTGGGCCGGCATCGACATCATGACAGGCGTACGGTTTGCCCAGTCGCCAACTGGCTTTTCCAACGCAGAGATACACCTTGAGTGGGCAAGGCATTTCAACTGCTGGTCTTGGGCATCGTCAGCGCAAGCAAAACAGTCAGGAAATTCGCTGGAAGAGTGGTTCGGCTGTGACGAGCATCTTCGGCGCCCCAACATGGGGATGAGTCGCGTGGCGCCGCCAAACCAACGGCCTGACGACGAGAAGATCTACCGATTGCTTGTTGTGGATGGCTTTACAGGGCATACCACCCTTGACTTTGCTGAGTATTGTATCAAGTTTGATATCATCATTGCTATTTTCCTCCACATTCCACCCACCTCATGCAGCCGCTTGATGTTGGGGTATTCCAGCCACTAAAGTCAGCACATCAGAAAGCGCTTCGGAAGTCGCTCGCAGAAGGCAACATATCATTTTCGCGGGTCAACTTCCTCACAGCTTTTCAGGACGTATATGAGGCTGGCTTCACGCGGCATAACATTATGGCGGCATTTGAAAAACAGGCCTCTTTCCTGTCGACCCAGCGCCGGTGATCACCAAGATCCTCCACGAGCAGCTACGACAACAGCAGCCGATCAATCCTGCATACGCCTCGCTCCTACCCTCGGAGACGCGTTTCCAAGTCGCCGCGGATGCCCTCAATGATATCCGGCAACGGTATGGGCCCCTCATGAGCTCGCCATCACGAGAAAACTTGCGGGTTCTTGCGAAAGTGAACACCGAGTCTATCGCGATGGCGTCACATTCCCAGGGCATAGTCAGCGATAAGAATAGCCGAACCCAGGCGTATGCGAATCGAATGAAGAGAGGCAAGATTGTCAGGCCGCGCGGAGAGTTTATCACGAGCTCCAGCATGGCCGACATCACCCGGGAGTATGAGGAGCTCCAGGCAAAGCAAACCCGGCTTCAAACGCGCCAGGAGATAAGGATGCATCTTAAACGAGTTCGTGGAGAGATGCAGAAGATCCGAGAAGACTATAAAGTCGGGAAGAAGCAGTTAGTCAATGGCAGAGTCAAGACATTGAACTTTAAGCCCTGGCTAGAGTTTACGGGACGAGACGTTGAGTTCTACACTCTGGAGCAAAGTTGCGATACCCTCATGCGGGAGCTCAAAGAGCCATCCAAGGAATCCTTTTCTATGATACCACGAAGAGAAATAACTCCGCCAGAGATGTCAGGGCGCGCGCAGCGACCCGACCTCGCCCACTTACAGATATGTCGTCGTTGCCCGGCAGTGACGATACCGTCTATTTCACAGGCCTCGATCTTGACAAACATAGTGAGGATGGCGCCGACGATGAAGACGAGGACAATTTACTCGACACGCAAGAGAATATACCTCATCGCCGCCGTTAGCAGCGGTTGAAGCGGTAGTCGATACACCATGCCCTCGACCGCGCACCCGATCGTCCAACAAGATACAGCAGACGCTCCAGGAACACAGGTATGGATAAAATAGCTCTCAGAGACGCACAACAGGCGAAATTACTACATAATACGTCTATTTGGACTCACAAACGCGGTCTTCCTATCTCTTCGACTGGAAGGCGGCAGCTCCTAAATAGGCCCAAAGACGTGATTTTTTCACTTTTCGTTGTTACTTGCGTCTTTAGGTGATCCGCAGCTATTGATCACATGTATATTTTAGCTATTTGAAGTCGCATTGACGGCACCATGAAGCGAAGCGTAGAATTTCCCTTGATTTTGCACCCCAAATTGAGGACCCTGCTGTGCCGGATTTTTTGGGCTGTGCCGGATTTTTTGGGCCAACTAAGTGGCGAAGACACTTAGTTGGGCTGCTGTGGCCCCACACCAAGATCAACGGGTAATCTGCAAGAGGATGTCACAGGTCCGGCTTTGGTGGGCGGTCAGCGGATTACCCCGCAGATTACCGCCGATTACCCGCTTGCCCTTGACATCACCTCTGCCGGGTTGATGTCATCTTCGGAGCGCCATAAAGCGCGAAAGCCGGGACCGACGACGACAAAACCAGTTCGACTGGATAGCCTGCGTTTGTGCGATCAGAATGCACCCTGTCTAAGGTCCTACATCCTGTCGGTTGCGAGGTTGCGGTGATTTGAAGCATTTTCTAGCCTTGACGCGCTGGAGCTACAGCGGCGCTTAGCGGATGCATACCCTGTCTACAGGCCACTACCGCTGACTGTAGCGACGCAGCCCTGACGGCCTGGGGCACTTTCGCCGCCAAGGTCCTCGTCATTCTATCAGACGGGTGTTCAAAATCACTGCGCCATCGACTTTTCGCTACCACCGACGTTGAATTGCCCCGACGCACGTTTGTGTCCCTTTTCGCCTTGCCTGTCCTTTCGGATGGCCTTGAACAACTTATCCAAAGAGCTGGGTCCACGTTCTTCGTCCATTTGCCTCGCCACGATATCTTCAGTTAAGCCGTCCGACTGGGCCCGCCTCCGAACCTCATCGACGATGATCTTGCGCGTGGAAAAGTAATTCTTCTCTGCAGATGGCCGCCATCGAGCACCCCAGTCTCGCTCAAGAGAATCCACAGAAGGCATTTCGCCCCAGCCCTGCCGCCAGAGACGCAGCAGCTCCTGTACAGATTTGACAGAACGGGGAGCTTGAAGCTCGGAGGTTCGCGCGGCCCAGGCGGCTCGCCATGCGCTCTTCCTGGGGCTTGCCCTGGCCCGCTTGCACCATTCCCTGCTGCTGCTCTAGAGAGCGGAGCGTATGTCGGACCGCCCGCTTGCGAAGGGCCTATCTCGGACCTGAGGACCGTCTCTCGTGGAGCGCGGCGCCTCTGTTGATGAGCTCCCGCGATCTCCGCATGTTGACCTGCAGCACCTTGGCCGGGGCTGAAGGTGACGGTGTAGGTGGCCTGCGCAAACTCATCCAACTTTGTGCATAGTTCGTAAGAAGCCCCCAAAAGGTCTAGATGTCTTCGCTCAGCTAACTGCTCGGCTGCGACCTGTTGAGTCAGTACTGTGCGCAGCTTCTCCGCAACCACCGGGATCGCTTTTGAATGACCGTGGTATGGCTGTCTTCGTGGTCCCGTGTGCATGTGTCTTGAACTTTGCTGGCGAACGCTTCAAACTCGGGGCAAGAGAAGACCGGATCCTGAAAGATAGGATGGTCGGGGTAGGACTCGCGAAGGAAGACAGCGTCCTGCAGGAGCACCTCTCGAAGCCACTCCAGGAGTTCCAAGAAGGCGCCGGCGGCCATGTTCTGCTCCACCCCAGATCTGAGAAAGGGCTACTGTGGGCCTCTTTCCATTTGTCGAGTTGAGGCCAGACCTGCACGAGTAGCACCACAGGCGGCCTCACGGTGGCCCGGGCACGAAATAAGACCCCGACCATTCAGGGTCAAAGTCGGCCACGGCCTCATGAATTCGAAAGGCAGGAAGTCAGATAGCAGCCGGTCATTTGGTCTCCGTTATTCCAACGACCGGCTCGGCGGATCTGTATAGTTCGGGTCAGCCCGGGCCAGGGGTTGGCGGCTTGCCTAGGGCAGATGACATGCCTGGCCTTCATCCCCCCCGGCCATGTCGGCGTTTTGCGTCGCCGCCACTCTAGGCGCGTGGCTGACCTTGGAGACCTTGATGCCGGCCTTCTTGTAGAACCTGGACGTCCATTCTCGGGCAGTCTGGCCCGACAACGGAGCTGTATATTCGGTGAGTGAAAGGGTCGATGCACCCTCTGAGTTATGGGATTCCGGTGAATGCCATCACGCTTACCTTGAGGCTCCTTCGCCGATCGGCGGAGCACCTTCGTTTCATACCAGTCTTCGCTTCTTTGGAAGACGGGAAACCTTTCCGCCTTTTCTACCTGCCAGCGCCAGAAAAGCCAGAACGCGAGGGCGCCGATGAGACAAGATCGCGGATCTCGATGCCGCAGAGCAGATCCATACTCCATGCGGCCGTGCTGGTTGGTCTTCCCACAGTTCATCACGACAACCAGCGCCTTTGTGGTATACCCTGGGCCTTGAAGCCCTCGTTGGGTAAGTCCAGGGAAAGCAGTCTGCCAACTCCATCGGCAGGCGGTTGCCGGACCGCAGCAGCATGTGGTTCCCGAGCAGAAAGTCCACCTGCGTCCTCAGGGCGCAGGCGATCTCTCCTCTCGGACCATGCCACGTTGGTGTGGTCGGGTATCTGCGCCGGCGCATACACATCTCTCAGAGTTCCAACTCCCTGTCCATGTATTCCTTCCTCTTCCGGCTCCAAGTCGTTGCAAGAATGCTGCGTTTGAGCGCCTTCAGTGCCACTCCTGTGGCCGGGCCGCAGGATTGACTCCCGGCTCTTCTGCTCGTCGTAAAGCTTCTGTATGGCCGAGACGTAGCCCCGTACAGTATTATACTGTAGTTTGAGCGTGGACTCATACAACTCCAAGTCGGAGTCTGACTCGTATTCGCTACCTCCGCCGCCTACAACGATGGTATCTGCTGGGGAAGCTGGGTGTTAGTATGATGGGCTGGCTCAGTCCGACGACCACATCCCGTGATCAACATCTGTTACCTGATGGTGCTCTGCGTCTTTCACGGCCCTCTTGGCTTCCTGAGCCTCGAGGTGTCGTTTTCTTTCATCGGCGACCCTCTTCCTTTCTTGGGAGGACGTGATGCCACTACCTCCTTCATGAAGAGCAAGAGCTTTCCTTCATCGACCAGGTCTCCGGGTAGCTGTTGGCCCTGTGGTACCGAGGCCGGCCAAACGTCCGGGATCGCAGGCCAGTTGGCTTGACACCACTCCTGTGAGGCAGTCAATGCATGGATCTACATGAAGATTGCAGGGCGCGCATGCGGGCTTGCCTTCCATTCTTCCTGCTTGGGACGATAATTTCGCTTCGTATTCTTCGGCTGGGTGTTCTCCAGATCTAACAGGTAGTGCTCAATGGCCGCCCTGACCCGGGATCCTCTATCGCGTTCGACATGGTGCAGGCGGTCGCCGTCGCGACGGTGGCAATGGAGGAGGTGGAGGAGGGAGGTGGGAGGAGGGAGGTGGAGCGCAACGCGCGTGAGCGAGACCGAAATCGAAGGTCTCGCGCAGGGCCCCGCGGGCGTGGACCTTCGATTTTGCCGTCCGATGGCGGTAATCCGACTAAGAAAACGCCAGCCCCGCAGGGCCGGGCCTTCGAAAACGACATGGTTTTGCGTGGGGCGGGGCGGTAATCCGATTACCGGATGACCGGTCAGCCGGCCCCGGGACCTGTGACACCATCGATTTAGAAAGAGGTTCCAGTGTTGGATCCACCTGTGCACTAGGCACCGATCGCGCACGTATAACTAATCGACCGCGCTAGTCACGTGCGAGTAAGAGGTGGGGCACAGGAGGAAGGTCTTTGCACACAGTTTAGGGACACGTTTCCTGGTTACGCAAGATATAACCAATTGAACCAGTTCGAATAACCTCACTGCAGTGAAGAGCCTGTCCACATATTTCAATTTAATTCAAGTTAAGTAAGTTGAGCGACGAATTTATTTCAAGTAATCAAGTTAGACCCCCGAACTTGACTTACTTGAATTGATGTCAGCGCTGTTGCGAAGAGAACCGACGAGCTGGGAATGACCCTAGGGGCAGAAAACAAGGAGATATATTACGGAGAGAATGAATTCCTGGTTTGGTGGGATGGTCTTCACGAGTTCATGCAACCTCCTGGGAGCAGAATGACCCATAAGAATGAGATTGAAAGAATGGTACGCAAGATTGTTGTACGCTATCATATGCGCGACATGGGTGACAAGGGACGCCACTTCGCGACAGAGCTGGAGCGACTGTTCGAACTGGCCGGAGCTGAGCGAATTGCGATCGAATTCCTGGGCAGCGGAACAGCCGAGGGAAGCAATTCTGCGACACAAGCAGTCATACAGGGTATTTCAACCATCGTCAGGGCTCTTTTTACGCTACTTTGGCGACGCTTTCACCATACGAAAGGCTCTCGGAGGGTGGGTTCTTCTGAATGCCGCGAGGTTCTCATGTTTGCGCTCGTACTGGGACTCACCTTCCGAATCCGCGAGGGGAGAGAGCGAGCAGGAGCGAGGCGACTTTCTGTTGACTTGATATGAGACATGGACCAAGACATGTTTAGGCAGCAGTTACAAGTGGTGAGTCACTGGATAGTGGCACGGACGTGCCACTATGTATATATGTATGTTGAGAGCTGTCAGACAGAATTGAATAGAAGTAAGTTCAATCGCAACAGGTTATGCACCCGGTTGCTTTTATTATGCTTCCACTGCACGATTGAACTCGGCATATGAGAACACTTTTTCGTCAAGAATCGACGGTTGACAGCAAAGACCCGGCACTATGGGCAAGAAAGACTACAAAGGAACCATCCTTGATGGAAGAGACTCCTTTGACAGCTGGAAGATGGATCTTGAAGATAACTTGTTGAGTGACGATCTTATGAGCTGCGTCACCGGTAAGGCAACAGCGGAATCGTCAGATTTATCAACGCCAGGAGAGAATGCTGCGGACATTAAAAATGTCTCTCTTGCGAGAATGAAAATACGACAGAGTATTGACCAGATCCACAAGAACTCAGTCAACCATCTCACCGATCCACGAGCAATTTATCAATCCTCGTTAAGCGATATGCGACATCGAACAAAGCGCGCCTTCGACAGCTGATCCGAATGCTATACGACGTTAGTACGCAGACGAATAGAACTGTGCAGGAGAAGGTCGACGACCTAAAGCGACTTCGAGCTCAGATTAATAGCCAAGACAAGGACATTGTTATCCATGAACAGCTATTGATTTGCTTCTTGCAAATGAGCATGGACGACGCTTTTAACACTACGGTCGAGATCTTGAACGCCTCGACAGAGACGTTGACAATGGAAAAGGTGCAGAGCTCTCTGGAAAGCAAAGAGTTGGAACTCGTCGATACTACAATCAAGGGAGAAACCGCACAATTCGCGGGTCGTGGCCGCAGTGCATGGAACAAAGGGAACAACAGGTCCAAAGCACAGGATGGTGGCGATGATAGCAAGGAGGAATATCTGAAGAAGGCAGGGGTGCTGGTCTTGTGGCGGTATGCATTTCAAGCATGATTGTGCAATTTGGCACCAAACCAAAGCAGGGAAGACCTGGCTAGCCTCTGAAAAAGCGAAGGCGAGAGAGGCCATGGATAGCAAAGGAAAGGCAAACGCGGTCAGGATCCTTGAAGACAGTGGTAGTGAATCTGAGAGATCTAAGTCCCTGCACATAGAAATGGGCACCCCCCTGTTTTGGGCACCCCAAAAAAATCACGACCATTTTCAACACCATTAATTCAATCCCTTCTCACTGCCCACCACCGTGCACTACGATACAATCGTCACCTATTTCTGAAACCTCAGCTTCGGTTTCATCAGATTCTTCATTCTCAGCTGCGTTCACCTCCTCCTGCGCCCGTCGTATTGCCTCAATATTGGCGAACCTCGAATTCGGGCTCGTGACCACCCTCTTCCTTTTTCGGCTTGACGGCCGCCAATTGTGTTTCCAGTGCCTGAATCTGCAATTGAGCTTTTGCTAAAAGGCCATCCTTCTCGTCAAACCCTTTTGTGATCTTCCTGAACAGCAATCTCTTCGTGGGCACGTCGTCGTCTAGCTGGTTGAATTGAACTACCTGAACCTTCAGATCTTGCGAGCGCCTCGGGGTCGACCACGCAATCTGGGATGTGTCTGATTGCCAGTCACTGGTGGGTAAGTGGCTATTGAATGCATTGGCCACATTTTTCGCGTTCTTTTGCGTCTGTTGCTGTTCTCCAGCAGAAGAGGGCTCAAAGTGGCTTCGCCATCGACACCGGCCACAAACCCGTCGCTTTCCAGCCACCCTTGATGTTTGACACAGTGAGCGCTTGCTCGCGTGCTTTCTGGTAGCAGGAAAGAAAGTTTTGCTTGCCGACTGGGCTTGAATCGGTCAGGAGGCTGAGAAATCCGACCTGTTTGCGGTAGTAGTGCTTAAGAGCGGAAGACAGACAAATCGAGCGGTTGCAGCACATGAGAGGTATGGGAGGTAAGAAAAGAAGGTGAATCTGATGCTGGTAGCATAGATACATGAAGTCAACCGTCTCGTGACTTCCGTGGCCGTCCAATACTAGCAGTCTTCGCTCCGAAGGGTCGGGTGGCTGGGTTCTTGGAATGAACACCTTTCGAGCCACTCCACCGCAGTTTGGTCCGAAGTCCAGCCGTTCTTTGTCGCAGTGAATTGCCAGTCACTAAAAGTACTGAGATCTTCTGGGAACCACTGTTGCTGGACCGATTTGCCCTTGAAAATGACGAGTGGAGGGAGGAAGGTGCCGGCAGCGGACACGCACTCGATGAACGACGTCCAGACCCGAGAACCAGGCGTCTTCTTTTGTACAGATCGTTTTTCAGCACTGCCAACGACCAGGCCATTCTCCCAAGTCCTTCCATGATGCCTGCTTCATCCATGTTGTACCTGTTCTCCGGCTTAATAGCCAGAATCTCGGAAGGAAGAAATTGTTGAACCAAGGCCGAATTACCTCGGTAGAAGCGCCGTTGACACGCGCAGAGTCTCTGTGATGGCACTTCTGGGTCCGAACTGCAGGATTTCGTCTTAAAAATGCTTGCATCCAGTGTTTTCCGAGCGGTGTGTGGTCTCCTTTGACGGCGAGCATGCGCTGCGCGAACTGCCTGATCTGCGAGTGAGTGGGAGGAAGGCCCAAGGCGTCCTGAATGAGAATCCATTCGGTAAGTTGCTTTTCCTGTGTCTGAGAAAGCCTCTGAAGAGCAGAAAATGCATCCTTTCTGCATTCGTGACCATGCATGCGATTGTAAAGAGTTGCCCTCGGACGCCCCAATCGCGAGCAGCCTTCTTGGCGGATCCGCCATTGGCGATTGCCTCAAGGGCGCTGTGAATGTCAGACTCTGTATATTTCATCAGTAGTGGCTTGAAGACACATGCGTCAATTTTTTAGCAGATTGGATGCGTTTCCGCGGTGAAATTTGCTGTTGAAGTTGACGCAGCCGTTTAGGTTGGGCACCCATCTTGGGTGCCCAAAACAGGGGGGTGCCCATTTCTAAGTCCCTGCACATAGAAATGGGCACCCCCCTGTTTTGGGCACCCCAAAAAAATCACGACCATTTTCAACACCATTAATTCAATCCCTTCTCACTGCCCACCACCGTGCACTACGATACAATCGTCACCTATTTCTGAAACCTCAGCTTCGGTTTCATCAGATTCTTCATTCTCAGCTGCGTTCACCTCCTCCTGCGCCCGTCGTATTGCCTCAATATTGGCGAACCTCGAATTCGGGCTCGTGACCACCCTCTTCCTTTTTCGGCTTGACGGCCGCCAATTGTGTTTCCAGTGCCTGAATCTGCAATTGAGCTTTTGCTAAAAGGCCATCCTTCTCGTCAAACCCTTTGTGATCTTCCTGAACAGCAATCTCTTCGTGGGCACGTCGTCGTCTAGCTGGTTGAATTGAACTACCTGAACCTTCAGATCTTGCGAGCGCCTCGGGTCGACCACGCAATCTGGGATGTGTCTGATTGCCAGTCACTGGTGGGTAAGTGGCTATTGAATGCATTGGCCACATTTTTCGCGTTCTTTTGCGTCTGTTGCTGTTCTCCAGCAGAAGAGGGTCAAAAGTGGCTTCGCCATCGACACCGGCCACAAACCCGTCGCTTTCCAGCCACCCTTGATGTTTGACACAGTGAGCGCTTGCTCGCGTGCTTTCTGGTAGCAGGAAAGAAAGTTTTGCTTGCCGACTGGGCTTGAATCGGTCAGGAGGCTGAGAAATCCGACCTGTTTGCGGTAGTAGTGCTTAAGAGCGGAGAAGACAGACAAATCGAGCGGTTGCAGCACATGAGAGGTATGGGGAGGTAAGAAAGAAGGTGAATCTGATGCTGGTAGCATAGATACATGAAGTCAACCGTCTCGTGACTTCCGTGGCCGTCCAATACTAGCAGTCTTCGCTCCGAAGGGTCGGGTGGCTGGGTTCTTGGAATGAACACCTTTCGAGCCACTCCACCGCAGTTTGGTCCGAAGTCCAGCCGTTCTTTGTCGCAGTGAATTGCCAGTCACTAAAAGTACTGAGATCTTCTGGGAACCACTGTTGCTGGACCGATTTGCCCTTGAAAATGACGGGTGGAGGGAGGAAGGTGCCGGCAGCGGACACGCACTCGATGAACGACGTCCAGACCCGAGAACCAGGCGTCTTCTTTTGTACAGATCGTTTTTCAGCACTGCCAACGACCAGGCCATTCTCCCCAAGTCCTTCCATGATGCCTGCTTCATCCATGTTGTACCTGTTCTCCGGCTTAATAGCCAGAATCTCGGGAAGGAAGAAATTGTTGAACCAAGGCCGAATTACCTCGGTAGAAGCGCCGTTGACACGCGCAGAGTCTCTGTGATGGCACTTCTGGGTCCGAACTGCAGGATTTCGTCTTAAAAATGCTTGCATCCAGTGTTTTCCGAGCGGTGTGTGGTCTCCTTTGACGGCGAGCATGCGCTGCGCGAACTGCCTGATCTGCGAGTGAGTGGGAGGAAGGCCCAAGGCGTCCTGAATGAGAATCCATTCGGTAAGTTGCTTTTCCTGTGTCTGAGAAAGCCTCTGAAGAGCAGAAAATGCATCCTTTCTGCATTCGTGACCATGCATGCGATTGTAAAGAGTTGCCCTCGACGCCCCAATCGCGAGCAGCCTTCTTGGCGGATCCGCCATTGGCGATTGCCTCAAGGGCGCTGTGAATGTCAGACTCTGTATATTTCATCAGTAGTGGCTTGAAGACACATGCGTCAATTTTTTAGCAGATTGGATGCGTTTCCGCGGTGAAATTTGCTGTTGAAGTTGACGCAGCCGTTTAGGTTGGGCACCCATCTTGGGTGCCCAAAACAGGGGGGTGCCCATTTCTATGTGCAGGGACTTATGTGCAGGGACTTACCTACTTGCTTCCGAACACAAAGGAAACAGCCCCTCCACAATGGTATCTCGACAGCTGTGCTTCCCTCCATATCACCCCAAGGGAAGACCAATTTATCTCAAAGTTGTCCCCTACAAAGACAAGTGTTGAGATTGCAGACGGCTCGAGGTTCGTTCAAGAGGGAAAGGAGATGTGAGGATCTTTTACGTCTCACAGAAAGGAAGAGCAAGGTCGACAATAGTACGTGGTGCACTACATCCCGGAGGCGACGAGCAGCCTGCTATCAGTCGGTGAACTGGAAGACAGGGGCATGTATTGTCGTGGACTCTCCGGGAAGACAGTCACGGTGACAAGAAATCAGGAGGAGGTGCTGTTTGGCCACAGACATAAAAGGTGTGGCGCTTGAGCCAGACAAGAGGGCACCGAGCCCATACAATCCAAGAAAAGGATGGCGATAACGGGGTAGCGCTGAAGTCAATCCTGAAGATGCCTGAAAGACTACTACATGCTAGGCTGGGACACCCTGGAAAGCATATGGAGGGCAAACTGAACGCCGTAATGGATGATCTCGGAGACAACTCATTCTGCCCGTCATTCTGCTCAAGCTGCACCGAGGCCAAAATGACAAGAAAGGTCTCAAGGGAGCCAATGTCTGCGGTGACAGAAAAGCTAGAGAGAGTCCATATAGATCTTTGGGGGCCAGTTGAGCTATCACTTCAAGGAATGAAGTACATGCTGACAATCACCGATCAGGCTACCGGGCGAGTTTGGGTTTATTTCTCTAGAGACAAAACGAGAATTACCGACAAGATCAAAGCCTGGGTAGTTGTTGCAGAGGCAGAGTGTCGCGAGTACGGAAAAGGCGAAAAGGTCAAGGCGATGCGCTTTGATCGCGGAAAGGAGTTTCTAAACGAGGCAATGAGGGTATTTTGCACGGGGAGAGCTATTCGGATCGAACCAACAGTGGGCTACCACCCGGAGGGGAATAGTATCTCTGAGAGGAGCATGAGAACCATATCAGAGAGGGGGTCTGCTATGCGTCACGAAATGGATCTCCCTGCAGCATACTGGGAGTTTTCGAACGCAACAGCGGCCTATCTGAGAAATAGGGGAGCAGACTTGCAAATAGATAAATCATAATCAAATCAAATCAAATCAAATCAAATTTATCCAAATCAAATCAAATCAAATTGCCCCTGCGCTGAATCAAATCAAATCAAATCGCAACACCCAAATTTATTTGGATATCTGATTATTTGGATACGCCCCACAATGGCGACCTGGGCCAATAGTTTTGGGGAGCCAGCCCTGCCTGGCCTAGAGTGGTCGCTAATTACGGGCAGTTGCTTTTCCAGGCCGTGTCACCAAGCTTTCTTTGTGTTTTACCTGACACGTTTGATCGTGAAATATATCTTTGGGTGCGTCTGCCATATTAGGGGAGATATTTGTAGCCGATGGCCAAAATGGGACAGCTCTGCACTTGACTGCTGCAATGGCGCATATGGGAGGGTACCGAACCCTCGCGGTCGAGCAAGATACGATACCCGAGGCCCACAGCTGCAAGGAAGACAACGGACCTAGATGACTTCATGACCTCAATTAGGAAACTTGGCGCCCAACCTGCGCCCTCACCGTCCTCCATGCGTGACGAGTACGCAGAAGGAGGCCACACCATCCCCACTTGGCTACAATGATGGAGACGACATCCAAATTAGCCGACGCCACGAATTGACGGAAGATTCGCCAGTCTATTCAGCAGACGACGGTATTTCCTTCCCTGGGGACTATGGAGAAGACTTGGGACGAGAATGAATGGATTGAGAGCTAAAGCTCAGGGAGCTTTGGAGGAGGCATACAAATCTACCACTCTGCCCTGTTCTTCGACCAGCTTCCGCACAAGATCCAGTGCAAGACGACCAAATGGGTCCAAAATGTGGATGAAAGAAAAAGTCGATTTTCAACATGGATGACGACGTACGAACTGTATTGCCGCGAGCCTGTGGTGGGTGGATCCGTTGAAATGGTGGTTGAGAGTCAGCGCAGCGGCGACGGTTCCTAACTTATCTTTGATGGCCATTGACCTTCTTCGATTGCGCTGTCTACTGAGACAGAGCGGCTCTTCTCCAAAGCCAAACTTTCGGTAACCGACCAGCGAGGATCTATGAACATAAGCACTACTACCGCAAACAGGTCGGATTTCTCAGCCTCCTGACCGATTCAAGCCCAGTCGGCAAGCAAAACTTTCTTTCCTGCTACCAGAAAGCACGCGAGCAAGCGCTCACTGTGTCAAACATCAAGGGTGGCTGGAAAGCGACGGGTTTGTGGCCGGTGTCGATGGCGAAGCCACTTTGAGCCCTCTTCTGCTGGAGAACAGCAACAGACGCAAAGGAACGCGAAAAATGTGGCCAATGCATTCAATAGCCACTTACCCACCAGTGACTGGCAATCAGACACATCCCAGATTGCGTGGTCGACCCCGAGGCGCTCGCAAGATCTGAAGGTTCAGGTAGTTCAATTCAACCAGCTAGACGACGACGTGCCCACGAAGAGATTGCTGTTCAGGAAGATCACAAAGGGTTTGACGAGAAGGATGGCCTTTAGCAAAAGCTCAATTGCAGATTCAGGCACTGGAAACACAATTGGCGGCCGTCAAGCCGAAAAAAAGGAAGAGGGTGGTCACGAGCCCGAATTCGAGGTTCGCCAATATTGAGGCAATACGACGGGCGCAGGAGGAGGTGAACGCAGCTGAGAATGAAGAATCTGATGAAACCGAAGCTGAGGTTTCAGAAATAGGTGACGATTGTATCGTAGTGCACGGTGGTGGGCAGTGAGAAGGGATTGAATTAATGGTGTTGAAAATGGTCGTGAATTTTTTGGGGTGCCCAAAACAGGGGGGTGCCCATTTCTATGTGCAGGGACTTATTGATCCTCGGGGGCACCTACGACTACGTGGCCGCTTATGGGTGCCAGGCGCACCGATCACGACAGAAGCAGCAGCCAAGGCAGCACCGCTAGAGCAGGAGTCGCTAAACGAATTACGGGGCTCCTTAATCCAGAAGGTTCATGACTCCCATGTAGTAGGCCACCCGGGACGGGAAGGGACGATAGAAGCCGTATCCAGGGACTTCTACTGGCCGCTAATGCAACAGCATATCCGACGTTTCTTGCGTAACTGCGATGTCTGCGGCCGTACGAAGATATGGCGCGAGCATAAAGGGGTCTACTTAGACCGCTACCCGTACCGGACCGCTTCTTCCGCCAGATACAGATGGACTTTATTACGGACCTCCCCCTTGCGAACGGTAACCGCTGCCTCTGGGTTATCAAGGACCGGCTAAGTAAGGAAGTTATACTCGAACCGATGCCAACGATGGAAGCGGAAGCATGTGCAGAGCGCTTTCTATGGTGCTTCGCCCGCTACCACTGGTGGCCCGACGCTATAACGAGCGATAGGGGCTCGAATTGGGTAGGCCGCTTTTGGAGGCACATGTGCAAGTTACTGGGGATCGACCAGCAGCTAAGCACGGCGTACCACCCCCAAACCGACGGAGGCCCTGAGAGGATGAACCAAGAAGTACAGGCATACCTCCGCGCCGTGATTAACCAGAACCAGAACGACTGGGATAAGTGGGTTCCCGCGGCTCAGATGGCGTTAAACGGTCGGGTCAATACCTCTATAGGGATGTCCCCATTCTTCGCTATACACGGCTATGAGCCGAAGTCACCAGTTCCCTCGTTACGGAAGCATATGCGGAAGAGTATCCTCAGCATTCGCCAGAAACCAGGGCAAAGAAATTTGTTACCAAACTACAACAGATTACGGACCTCTGCCAAGCATCAATGGCGACAGCTACGCAGCAACAAGAACGCTTCGCTAACAGACGACGGAACGCGGCAGAACGCTTCGAAGTAGGCGATAAGGTTTGGCTTGACTTACGGAACTACGCGTCAGAGCGACCTAAGAAGAAGTTCGACTGGCTGCACGCTAAGTATACGATAAGCAAGGTACTCGACCCGTACACGGTTGAACTAGCAGACCTCCCGAGGGCTGCTATAATAGGTTCCACGTCGACCAACTCCGGAGAGCGGGGACGGACCCAATGCCTGGTCAGCAACGCACAGACGCTCAACCCCATCTATCCAAGTAGACGGGGAGGCTCACCAAGTAGTAGAGGAAATACTATGCGCTAGGTGGAAGAGAACCGGCCGCGGCCGTAGGCGGGAAGTCCTTGTACGCTGGCAAGGTTGGCAAGACCCGACCTGGACCTCTTTAGACAATATGCAACAGACAGCGGCCTTGGATAAGTACGAACAGAGATACGGCCCGGCTCTCGAAAACGATGGACCATACCAGCACCGACGAGTGGCAACGGAAGCACAGCCGGCCCAAATCCAGGGGCAAGTCGAAGGAATACAACCACAGCTGCAGATACAGGGCAAGAGAATACGCGGACCACTACGGGCTAGGACTAATGGCGACGCCCCGTCGATAGTAACGGCACCAGACCCTATAGACGACGGCCCTACGATCGTTGTAGAGGGACCAGGAACAGGAAAAAGGGCACCAGCGCCAGAGAGGAGTAGGGGCTAATGTGGCTACGCCCCGATGTGTAGATCTGGCATGGCCAGACTAGTCACGTGCGAGCGCCACGGACACGACTCCTAAAGGAGCGATGTAGACACGTCTCCCTTTACACTCTTTGTAGCTCAATTTACATCAATTACGCCCAGCACCTGTGCCAACAGTGCTGACCCCGTAACACAAACCACTGCAAAAAGACCTTAAAAGCGATGGCTGGAGAAGAGGATCAATGGATCCAGTAGGTTACGTTTGCCTTGAGGAACGAAAGGCCTCTTCTTATCGCGTTTGCCTTGAGGAACGAAAGGCCTCTTCTTATCGCGCGACCACCCAACCCAATTTTTTCCCCCCCAAACTCCCGTCCTCTGATTGGTCGGGTTCCTCCCTTTTGATTGGTCGGAAAGGAAATTATCATGGTTTGAAAGCTTCCCCGCAACCTCGACTGCTTACCGCTCCTTCCTCCGGCCTCCTTTTTTTCTGATGGAACGGCCCTGTTTCGTCCGCCCTCTCGGCCGCCTATCACTCCTAGCCGGGCCCTTTGCCTTTCTTTTGGGGTGTCTTGAAGAAGACGTATAGAACTTGCCCCGCCGAGGTTTTGTGAGAACGGTGGTTCTGCGGCTCGGGCCTAATGAGGAAATAGTTGGGCGTTCTATCTATTTATCCCCAGTCTCGTCTTGTCCTCCCGCGGCCCCGGAGGTCATCGCCGAGCCAGCGTAGCGCCTCCCCGACGGTCCTCTCACTGAGCCTCTCTAGCCGTGCCTGCGCCGCCGTCATCTCCTCGGGCACCCTGTTCCCTACCAGGTCCCTCTCCCGCACCTCCGACACGAGCATGATGCCGTCGAGCGTCGGGCACCGCGATAGCTGCACGTATAGGCTATACGGGTCGCACGGCGACGGTACCGCGCGCCCGTCGACGGTCGTCGTCCTCGCCCCCCGGAGCTCCAGCGCCACGCGCTCCAGCGTCCCGCCCTGCACCTTGTAGTCGGTGCAGGCGAAGGCCGCGGCGCACGGCAGGCCCTCCGGCTAACGTCGTTCCGCTGCCACGGCCGCTTCCGCTGGGCCTGGATCTTGACGCTGATGGGCGTCAGCAGGATCGTCCCGGACGGCATCCCCACGAAGTGGAAATCCTGGTCGTCTCCGAGGCCAGCACCATGCCGACCGGCGGCCCGAAGTGCATTGTCAGCTCCGCCGAGACCCGGTGGCCGGGGAAGGCCCGGTCGGGTATGACGTCGACCGCCGTGTACCCGGCCCCGTTCACTAGCTTCAGCCCCTGGTGCGTGTTCTGGTTCACGACGACCGGCATGCCGGGCACGAAGAGGAAGACGGCCGGCACCGGAGTCGCGCTGTCGTCGCCCTGGCCTAGCATCAGCACCGCCTCCTCCTCCGTCGGCGTGCCGTCCCTCCACTTATGCTCGGAGACGAAGATGCGCGCCGCCGTCCGTTGCCGGGCCCGGAACGCGAGGGCCGCCTCTAGGTTGAGGTTCCAGCGATTCCTGTTAAGCGGCGTCACCACCGTCACCCCAGTCTCCCACGGTATCCGCCTGCCCGCCCGGTAGCACCTCGAGTTGAGGAGGTCTAGGTCCGACCGGTCCTGCTCCCCCCGCCGGATCCGCCCGAGCAGCCGCCGTAGCTCCGGGTCGCCGGCGGCGCGCATCTGCTCGTCGAGCATGACGACCGTCGTAAACTTCCTCCATAGCGCGTGCGCCTTATCGTGCTGCCGCCGCCGCTCGGCCGCGAACGCGCCGTCCGCGTCCCACGGCACCGCCGCGCTCGGCAGCAGGATCGACCGCTCCTGCACCGGCCGGAACTGATGGAAGTCGCCGCAGAGGATGACTACCGGGATGCCGCCGAAGTCCCGCGGCGAGCCCCGCAGCCGGCAGAGCTGCTCGTTCGCCGCGTGCAGCGTGCGCGCCCCGAGCATGCTGACCTCGTCGATCACCAGCACCTCCTTCTCCTGCCAGTCCATCCGCGACCGGCCGTCGACGAAGCGTTCGCCCTGTCCCGGCAGCCGCACCCCGTCTACCTCCCTCGCCGACCCCGCCTGGCCGCCCTGGCCGACCAAGAGGCCGCAGGCCGAGTGCAGGTGATGCCGTTGATCCGCGCCGCCGCCGTCCCCGATGTCGCCGTGATTAGTAGCTGGCTCGATAGGTCCTCTGGGCGAACAGCTCGACGAGCGCCTCAATGACGCGCGACTTGCCGGTACCGCCCTCGCCGCCGACGAATAGACAGAGCTGGCCGGCGTCGCCGCTGTCGCCGGCGTCGCCGCCCTGCCGGGCCTGATCGAGCTGGCGGCATATGATGAGGAGGGCGATCGACTGCTTCTCGTTAAGCGTTAGCCGGCCCGCTAGCTCCCTGCCGGCGGCGACAAACGAGCTCGACGGGCCGAGCCGCACACGCATCCCCGCGTCGGCGTCCGCTGCCGTCACCTCGACGTCGTCCTCGCCGAAGCCGCCCATCACCCCGCGTAGCGCCGCACCTCGGTCGGCCCCGGGCGCCGACGCCGCCGCGCCGCCCTGGATTCCTTGGATCGCCCGCTCCCGCTCCCGCGCGGCGCTCCTCTGCTGCGACTTGATGGCTCTTACCTGCTCTTGCCGCGGCAGCGCCGCCCCGGAGAGGGTCGACCCCGCGAGGATTACCCGCCTCGGCCCCGCCTCGCCCGCCACCACCGTCGCATCGAGCTCGGCCGCCGACGAGAGCGCCGACTGCTGAAACCGGCAGAGCTGCTGCGTCATCGCCAGCAGCTCCGCCGACCGCGCCGTTACCTGGCCCGCGCCGGCGGCGTTCCGGACAACGTCGATGAGCCGCGCCGCGTCGCCTGCGCCGCCGGCGCGGTACACCTGCCCGCCCCCCTCGGCCGCCTCCTCCGCGCCCTCGTTGGCGCGTGCCGCCGCCGCCGGCTCGCCCTCCTCGGTCGTAGCGGCCCATTGCCTGGCGTCGCGCTTGGCGTCCTCCGCCGACCGCCGGAGCAGCTGTACGTTGTCCGCGAGCCGCGCGATCCTCGGCGCCAGCGCCGCCCGCCCCGCGCCCAGATGTCGTTGATGTCGCCCGTCTCCTCGCAGACGAATGCCTCCCACGGCACGAACAGCGCTAGATGCTGCACCGCCGCCCTTTGCACCGTTAGCCGGGCCACGGGCCGCGTCGCCGTCCGACGGTACGCCCTCGGCTTTGCTATACGTACCTCCGATGACATGACTCCTCGTCTTCCTCGCCGAACTCCTTACTGAGGTACCCGTCAGGCGTACGCTCGCCCCTTACCCGGCCGTCTGAGCACTTGCGCCCAGTCCTTCCCGGAGCCCAGCTCTCGTTAAAGGGTATCTCGCCCCAGGCCGCGCAGCCCTCGGCGCCTCCGCCATTCCGTTTCAGCCTTACGAGCGACGCGTAGTCGTAGAGACAGAGGCCCTGTAGGAGCCCGCCTCTATGCCGGTAGGCCTCGATGAAGGAGATCCTCGGCCCCGCCTCCTCGACGACGACCGTCTCGTCCGGCGCGTCGCTCGCCGTCGCCTCTACCCCGCTCGCCAGTCGGAGGTGCCGCCACTGGCGGAAGACGGCCCAGTAGAGCTGGTTCGTGTTCACGTACGCCCACGCCGCGCCGCTGCAAAACTCCGCGGGATACCCCAGGAGGTCGGCGATCACCTCGACCTGGGATAGCGGGCGCTCCGTGAAGATTCGGTTCGCCGCCTTTAGTAGGAACACCTCGTCTTGTTCCCCTTATAGGGTCCGCCGCGGCCTCCTCTCCGGCTCCGTTCCCCGCTATCGTTGCGGTCGGCGCTGGGGATACTGCTCTCGCTGTCGGCTCTAAGGTCGGGAGTAACTCGGCCGCGGCGGCCACCCGCTTCCACGTAGGGTCCTCTACCTTAGTCGCATAGTTGGTGATGTAGTAGATCAGGGCCATGGTCTTGCGCTGCGTCGCGATGAACGAGATGTCGTGGTTGTGCCGCAGCCCTACCGCCATCGCCTTGTTCCACCGGTTCACCATGCTATGTGTCCGCCGGATCTCCAGCACGCCGTCCGCCGTGAGCGCCGTCCTCTCTACTAGCCTCCAGGGCGCCTTAAAACGGCAGAGGTCGCCCACGACCGGCCCCGCGAGCGAGTACTTGACGCAGGTCGCGCTATGCGTGTGGACCTGCGTCGCGCCGGCGCAGAAGTTGGCCTCCTCGTCGAACGCGTCCGTTAAGCGCTCGACGTCGTCAAGCCACGACGACATGTGCGCCGTGATCGACCGCTCCGCCTGCACAGCGTGGTGCCCTTCTGCGTCTAGCTCCTACGGCCTAGGGTTAGTTTCGGCCCCTTTAGTCTGCGTTCGACGGAGCCGGGAGGCTACGCCTCTAGACGTCGTCCGCCTTACCTCGGAGAAGACGCTGTCTACGTAGCGGATTATTCGCTCCCGGTACGCTGCCTGCTCCTCGCCGCCGGCGCCGGCCAGCGCCTCGCCGAGGCGCGCATTGCCCTTTAGCCAGAGAAGCCCGTGGAGGTGGAGAGCACCTCGTTCGTTCGTCTCTACCGCCCCGTAGTACGCCCCGACGTGCCCGAACACCGACTCGTCCCCGACGTCGACGTAATGCTCGAAGAAGAGCTTTATCTCCCGGTGAAAGAAGACGGCCGCGCTCATCGGGTCCGCTATCGCCAGCCGCACCCGCTTATACGCAGTCCCTAGCTCTCTTAGGAAGGCCTCGGCCGCTTCGGGGTCGCGGGCGCGGTACGCCGCCAGCCGTAGCTTTACCGGGTTCGTAATATCGTTCGGGTTTAGCGTGAACCAAATGGCCGGCACCCCGTATCTGACGATGAGAGATAGTATCTTCTTCCGCATACTTAGGCGGCTCTCCCTCGACATCGGCTGCCGGTGGCCAAACACCGATAGGGACCGGAGGAGCTCCTTTACCCCGTCGTCGCCGGTCTTGCCCGTGGCCTCGAGCTCGACCTCGCCGCCTCGAGCCTCTGCGTCGTTAACGACTTTAGTAGACCCTCGACCTTTGCGAAGTTCTTCCTCGTTACGCCTAGCATACTGGCCTGGCGGTTCCTAGACCGCACCCCATATTAAACACTAGGAAGGCGAAGATGGGATGCGTCGCGAACCGGCCGCCGTGGCGCCGTAGCACGACGTCGGCCCATGCTTGGAGGTTCATGTTCCGGGTCGACGTGAGGCCCTCCGCGACCCGCTCCGCCTCGGCAGCCCGGCCCCGCCACCCGGTAGTCTCGCTTCCACGGGTAGCGGCCTCGTCGGCGAGCCTCGGCCCCACGCCAAAGGGAAATAGCGTCGGGAAGGTCTTGGCGAAGAAGGAGGCGTCCGCCGAGTCGGCGAACTCGTTGCCGCGCCGTACCTGGATATAGGGCTCGTACTTGTCGCCATCGCCGCCGCGCGCCGCCCCTCCGGCCGCCGTCCCCACCCACGTCCTCGGGCCTGCGCGGGCGCGCGCTCCGTCGGCCCGACGGCGTCGCGGGCGAAGCGAATCTTCTCGGCGTCCGCCACCCTGGCGGCCCGTCGAGCGGGAACATGCCGGACGACGTCACCTCGTTGATTACTTCCCCGCCCTCTTCGGGCCTAGCGCCGTCCTCTTCGTCGTCGCACGTGGGCCTGACGTCGCGACTCTCCGCGGGATCCCGCCCCTGGCTTAACATGACGAGGATCTCCTCGATCTCGACCGCGCCCTCGTCGTCCATGGCCCGCTCCGTCGGCGGCACCACCTGCGCGGTCCGCGTCCTCTCCCGCGCTGACGGCTCGTTTCGCTCCAGGCGCTCGCATACCACCGACGGCACCCCGTGCGGCGGCGCCCCCCAGCTCTCCATCTCCGCCACGTCGATCTCGACCTCGCCGTAGAGCGGGTTGTTCTCCTTAAGCCAGACGAGCGCCCTCTCGACCGCCCGCCGCCTTACCGACAGGAGGCCCGACAGGTCGCGTGGCCCCGGCTTCTCGGCCCCCTGCCACGAGACATGGATCTCGTCCATAACCGGACTAGCGGGTGCGGGAGCACCTTGGTCACCAGCCCTGCACGTCATTCGGGAATACCGTGATATGGCCCTTGACGTGCCTCGGATACCTCACGCTCTGCCTCTGCCCGCCGGGGATGCTATACCTCGTCACGAAGCCGTAGCACGAGTTGAGCGAGATCAGCTTCTCCTCGACCGGCGTGAGGCCCTTGAGCTCGTCGGGGTACGCGTGCTCGCAGCCGAGCCGGCCGTGGAGGTGCATGCCAGGCGAAGCCCTCTCACGCCCGAGGCACCGCGCGCACTCTGCGCATACCGGCACCGCCCGGCCCTCGGGGAAGCAGCTTCGGCACGCGAATAGAGACCGGCCGCCCTCCGTGACGGGGCTCCGCCATGGCCACCTCTCCCACGCCATTTCCCTTAGCTCCTCTCTTGACCGCTTCCGGTAACATACCTTGCAGGTCAAGACCGGTAGCGTGCCGGCGTCGTGGAACGCCCGGTAGAACCTCTGCACCGTTCGCACCTGCCTCGCGCGCGGCACCGGCATGCACCACGTCTGCTCGTCTGCGAGCCTCTCGCCCGCCGCGAACTCCTCCTCGAGGTGCTGCAGTACGCTGGCTAGGTCCTCGGCCTGCAGCTCCCTCCGTCTTGGGGTTTTCTGGCCCACCCGGACCCGGGAGCATTTCCCTAAGGCCTGCCCGCCGGGGGTGCGGCCCTTCCTCTTCCGCTCTCCCCCGGGCTGCCGATTCATTGTCCTGCCTGCGCCCCGTTAGCCGTCTTCATGCGCCTTGGCCTCGCTCTGCGACCGTACCGGCTTGTTGGCTGTCCGTGCTTCCGACGCTCGGTCCCGCCTCGGTGGGGGGCGCCGCGTGGACTCCGCCCTCAGAACCGGCCGAGCCCGTATGTGCCGCGGCGCCTGCTGGCCTCTGGGCGGGCCGCCCTCGCTCGGCGGCGGTGTGAGACCGGCTGCGATCGGTGTCGGCCGGGGCTGGATACGCCGCAACGCCTGCTGCCTTGCGTCGGCTTGGAGTCTCTGCTGCCTCGGTGGTCTTCCCCGCCTGCGCTTCGCGCCCTCGTCGACACTCGGCTGCGGCGTGGTGTGGCCGTTCCACCCTATTCCCATATCCGCTTCGCCCTGCCTAGGCTGGGCGATGTCGCCGCCGTTGGCAGTCGCACCTATCGGTCTCCAAGCGTCCCCGCCCGGACCGTCCTCGACCGGCGTCTCCAAGGCGCCACGCGGTCCGTGGGCTTCCTGCGCCGGGCTCGCGCCCCCCCCTGCTCCGCGCGGTCCCCCTCCAGCAGCTGACTCCATCGCGATACTGGCTGCCACTACCTTTATAAACCTCTCATCTACCTCGTGCTGCTATGCCCCTGACGTGGAGCCTCGTGAGTCGGACGTCGACGTATACGTCCTTTCCTGGGCTGCTCGTCTTGCGCTTATGTTGCTACTCGGCATGCAGCTTATGCGTAACGGACACTTTACATTTACAATGACCTATGTACTCTATATAGAGCTCCGTAGTACGTCTATAAGCATGCTGCTGCTCTTCACATTATACCGGCGCCGACTTTCCATTAAGCCTACCGGGAACTGCCTGCTGCTATCGCATGCAACGGCCTAGGCCGGTCTTTACATGTAAGTCGCTACGGCACCTTCCTCTTACTCGTGCTTTACATTCTACGCTCTCCTTGTTATCTGGAGCTATGTCGCTAAGCGCCTTGGTTCGAGGTTAGATGCTTGCATACTGGCTTTTAACCCCATGTCTTAAACGTGTCGCCAATGAAGCTGCCCTATTCTGTGACAATATGGCTTCCCGTATGTCGGTTGTCTTAAAAACCCTCTATCCCTAAGCAGACCGCCTTTTGCCCTTTTCCCCTCGCTTCCCATAGCATTCTCTAGACAACGCTCTTTCCATGTTCTCCTAACCGCTAAAATTTTTCCCGTGTTTCCGTTAATATCTATGCTCGTGTTCTGTAAGGCGGCCCTGGCCCTTCACTTCCCCGCCGGTTTCTTCCAACGATACAAAAATAGGAAGAGTTCCTGCTCCTATTCTGCCCCGCTTAAACGATTCAAAACGGCAGCGTCGCTCTTACGCTATACAACCTCGCCATGTCTTCGTCCCCGTCTTCGGCCGCCTCTCCGCCGCATCTGAAGAGGCCCTTAGTACTGGCAAGAGCGTCGACGGTGACATGTCTATGATGTTCTTCGCCCAGCCCGACTGCCCCTCGAGGTTCGCCCACTAAGACGAGCACCGCATCAAGAACCTTAACGCCGAAGGCTATCGCCCGTGTCTTCCTGCCCGTCCCCTCGTAGCTGCTCCCGGCCGAGTACGCGCCCTCCGCGCGGAGCCGGATGCCGCCGACCCGGCTGTCTCTCTCTCTTTAGCCTAGGTAAACCTCTCGATTTACGGCCAGCCGGTCGTCGACCCCGACCGGTCCGAGCATCGGTTCTTCGTTAACAGCCACGTCCACTCCCATGCCCTCCCTGGGGTTCGAGTGCCGCGACGGTCTCCACGCCGGCCCGGGCGATACCGTCGTCTACAATTCCCACGCTCGTCGTCCGCGACCATGGCTACCATCCATGCCCCCGCCCTGTATGCGTCTCCTCCCTGCCGCGTCGCTGACTTCTCCTTCTGGCGTCCTCCCGCGCTCCTTGGCCTCCCGACGGCCACTTCCCCTCGGCCCCTCCCGTCGTCTCCTTCCACGGCGTCGTCGCCGGCGCCGGCCTCTCCCTCTTGCGACGGGACCTCCAGCCCGGTCTCGACGCCGTCCGTCTCCGCTGCCGGCCGGGTAGTCGACCGTGTCTTCGTTCCTCAAGGCTTTTGTGCGCAACCCAGGGGGTTGCCTTACCTCGTTACCAATATGGGTCAATTCAGGCTCATAGCCACTTTCTTGTTACGTTATTCGCTACTATTTATTACGTATTCCCCACCTCGCTGAGCCTTAGTCCAAAAGTAGTGGATGGGCGGCTCTTTGTCGCATAAGTTATCAAGCCTGCCTAGGATGATTACTCATGAAGTGGCGGTATTACTACGCAACGCAGGCAACAAGTCTTTCATTTGTGTATAAAGAGCTGCACAATTCCCTGCAGCTCGTTCACTCACTTCTTGTTCTTTAGATAATTCTCATCAATTGACTGATGCCATTCAGGTCGCTTTGCACAGCCGCTGTCGTGCCAGGTGTGGGCCGTAACTGTCTGACACTCTTTTTTAATTTCCGAGAGCAACGGGCACAGAGCAAAAGTACGTTTATGGCCAGTGCGGTTGAGAGCACAGCTTAGTGAACACATCGACCCACGCTTTTTGCTGTCGGCGTCCTGTGTCAGCCCATGCCATGTGATGAGCGTCTATTTGCGGCCGTCTGCGGTCGTCATTGCACTTCCCGGCTACGAGATGACTTCGGCTTGCAAGATGTAGCCGTACTGCGGCAGAAGTCACCGACCTTCGGCAGGAAATGGCTTCCATAGCATAGGAATTGGAACAAAGGCAACAATTGGACCTTCGTCATAACGAGTTTCATCGTTGTAAGGTAAGCCAATGGCGTCGCGCGGCGCCTTCCCGCCTCTCCGAGTTCTCACCTGAATCGCTTGGCGGAAAGGTGTTTAGCTGAATTCGGACGGTCGCGCTTTTCTGCATGGTTCAGCGTATACATCTCAATTGAAGACATCCAGTTAAGTACTACATGACTCCTGGGCGGCATCTCGACACCGGACAGCATTACGCGTTCCGAATGGTGATCAAACCCTCTCCAGGTACTGTAGCAGTTCGAGGGGATAGCGTCAACTCATTTTGTCCAGAAACGAGCGGACAAACAGTCCATGAAACAGCTTCCAGGCATTGCAACCTCGGACGCTATCGGATCACTTGCGGCGCATGGCTTCCTTTAATTGGCCGTTCATCGTCACAGCTAATTTGTGTCGAAGCCGGTTCCTTTCACCCCAGCACCGTGCGGCTGTTACTCACCGAGACGATCGAGCTACAAAATTGTGCGTTCCTGCCTTATGTATCGCCGTGCTCGCCTCGCAACAATAGAAACACCACCCAGATTCCGCCGCTCAATCATGTCGCAGTCTGAGATCATTCAGGCCATTCTGGCTAGGAGGATCGCACCGCAATGGAAACATCGAGGGCAAAATGCACCCGCCAGGTTGTCGCAAACCGGTATCAGGAAGGTCTCGGAAGCGGTATGATGTCGCGACCAGCGGATACTGGGTCCTCAAACGGGCCCAAGGACTGTGCGTCGCAGCCAATGACCTGCCAGGCTCCTTTCCCTACGGAATGGTCATGTTACGGGCGACATGTGGTATTGAAACACCCCTGTGCCTGGGGGCATTTACTGACGCGACCCAGTGGTGCCAGATAATGGCGAGTCTGGTTCTCTATAAACGAGGCTATCTAGGTAATCGTCCAGGTTGAAATGGTGAGCCTTAATGCCTGCTAACTTGTCTCATAGTTTGGAAGACCTGGTGATGCTCCAGGACTCTCAGTAAGTCATGACCCAATCACAGGAAACAGAGCGAAACGGAGAGTCTGAATAGCACTAGAATAAAGGAAACCCAGCGGATGTATGTTAACCACTGTGGTCAAGACTACGGCACCTAACAACACGCAAACAGAGTCAATGAGCTTTTGCAGAGCAAGGAGGAGTAAGCGCCCTCTCGCGCTCACTTGACACAGCCGTCTAACCTCGCCTGTAGTGAGAAATCTCAGGTACAAGAGGTTTGGAGTAGTATCATCCTAGCAGCGGCTTCTTCAACACAGTGGACCTACCAACTTGCAGCTAGGAAAGTCCGGGAAATTGCGGAGCAACAGCCCAAACGGTCGTACGGAGGGATTAAAAGAGGTAGTGGTTTTCTTACTAACGATATAGACGACGATTCTTCTTCCAACGAGGCACCTAAGGAAAAACGAGCCAAAAGAGACGCATCCCCGGCCACCCCTCGAGGACAGGGTGGTTTTCCATATCTAAATATGGAAATACCCTTTCCATGAATGGCATGGAATAGGTATGGATATGGATCCATGTATTTCCATACTATTGGCTGAACCACGCCACTAACAAGGGTTCCTACAGGGGGCTACCTACAGGGGCTGTGGGCCTGGAACCCCCGCTACAAATCCGCACATCCACAAAATCAGCCTCACCACCAACCCACAGCATACCATTATCACCTGGCGACAATGGATTCTGAGCCTGTGTTAGTTATGTTTCTTCGATTCTGAATCCATTGCTTCGGATTCATTCGCGTCTATATCTCCCAAGACAAGAGAAAACCTGCTTTTGGATCATGAAAACATGCTCATCTGGCAGTAATGTACCGGTAGTAAAAGGGTTAGGGGAAGCGGAGTTCAAAGGCAGGAACCGCCTCATATATTATCTTTATTGTCCCCAGAATGATCCCTACAGTACTTCTGTCACCGCCAGCTTTCGAAAACACCCTGAGGGCAAGAAAGTATGTCATCAACGTCGCAGAGAATTTATCTCTTCTTCAACCGTCCATCATCGAAGGATTTGATCAACTCTACGGGCAAGCGTGGGATCTGGGCCGTGTCTTCAAAGGCTACCTTGACCAAGAAATTATCAATAAAGAGAATTCGCCCTATTACGCCGCTTCTTTGGTCCTTCATCCAAGCTATCGCACGACGTACATCCACTCAAATTAGAAGAAGTGGCATAAAACTGCTTTCAAACGGGTCAAAGACCTTTGCTACTCTTACCGAAATACAAACGACGGTACAATTTCGTATCATG